GTTTATTATTATATTTGATTTATTTTTCTTTTTTTAATTTAAGACTCACTCCTTTCATTAAAAACAAAATAAATTCTATGGAAGAAAAAATACAAATAAAATTAAAGAAGAAAAGTATAATATCTGCCCTTTACCCAAGAATTAATTTATTTATTATTATTATTTATACATTTATCTTGAGTTAAAACTAAATGTTATTAAATTAAATTATTCTTAGATGTATCACCTTTTAAAAAATAATTTAGTCTCAGAAACGAGGAGGAAATGAATCACAGCAACAGACTTGATTTATTTATTTGTTTTATTTAACTTTTTCATYTTTTCATCAGCTGGAAGTTTAAAGATAATGAAGCAAAGAGACAAACAGTTCAGCATCAGCAGGTAAACCGAATTCAAACCGGTTCTGATTCGGATCAMGTGCGTTAATCCTCCAGCAGGGGGCGCCACGAGCTCATCTTTTATACATCACTCTGATTCATCAGATTTATTGTTTTAACTCCAGTTAAACCTGATTTTCTGCAGCTTTGGAAACAAATTTGATCATTTTTGTTGGTAAATTTATTTTAATTGTCAGAAACATTTAAATGATGAAGATTTAAAATGTAAAACTGGGTGATTCAAGCATCAAATCACTTTATTTTAAACTAAAAGTTATTTACAGAAAACAAACAGTGAGATAAATTAAAGCTCTGTTCTGTACATTTTTCTCTCTTTTTGATCATGAAGTCTCCAAACATCCATCTGCGTCCAGAACAAAGCGCGACTCTGGGACAAACAGGAAGAGTTTTTATTAAACAAGCAGACAGAAACACAGCTGCAGCAGCAGTTCCTCAGGTTCTCCTCCTCAGCAGGAGGAGTTCAGGAGGAGTACAGGGGCTCCTCCACGGAGCGCACGGAGAACTTGAAGTGGCGCCGCAGGTACCCGCCGTACCTCTTGTCCCACTTCAGGTTGTTGATGTTGAGTTTGGGTCGGACCCTCCGCATGAAGCCGCCGTAGCGCTTCTGGAGCTCCTCCCGGCTCTCCTCCTGCTCCTCCTGCTCCCCGGAGCTACTCCTCTTTGATTTGGGGCCGAATTTGCGTAAAAAGCCGCCGTAGCGTTTGACGAACGCGCGCGCGTCCTCCTCCTCCTGGTCCAGGTCCTGGTCCTGGTCCTGGTCCCCGTCCCGCGGCGCGCCTCGCGCCTCCAGCCGCTTCAGGAGTTCCTGGTAGAGTTTTGGCGCCGCCGCGGGCTTCAGGACGGAGTTGGAGGAGGTGAAGAGTTTGTTCTTGTCGATCCTTTTGATGAAGCCGCCGTAACGTTTGACCAGGTCCGCCTGCTGCCGCTCCTCCGCCGCCGCCGCCGCGTCCTCCGTGAAGTCCGCCAGGCTCGGGACCGGGGCGCAGCTCTGCAGCTCCCCCTCACAGTCCGGACTGCAGGACTGAGGGGACACGGAGAAAACAGGGGAACACGGAGAAAACAGGGGGACACGGAGAAAACAGGGGGACATGAAGGTCAGAGGCTTTAAAGCAAACAAACAATCTGAATTATTTCTAAAACTTTTTATTTTATCTAATTTTTTTTTTTCTTTTATCATTTTGACTGATTTAACCTTAAATGCGCACAAATTAAAAGCCTTTTCCGTTTGATTTATTGTCTAATTTAACAGTTTTTAGTATTTTTTTATAATTTCTTCCTGGGTGCTCTGCGCGTAAAGTCTTCCTCACCAGGCTGCTGAAGTCCGGGCGCAGCAGCTGTTGCGCGCATTTCTGGCACTCAGCCGAACAGTCTGAGTGGATGGAGGGCGGGAAGCTCAGCATCAGCACCAGGACGTACCACTCCATTCTGCACCGGCTCCCTGCGCGCGCACAAACAAACACAAACAGCAGTTTTTGACTCTTTTATTTGGAGCCGATCGAGGCGCGCGGGAGCGGAGCCGCGCGTAAAAGGCGCGCGGAAGCGTTTCTCCTGAACCAAAGTTTAAATGCTAAAGGGAAGCAACAAAGAGCAGACTCGGTACCTTGAGGGATTGGACTAATTCTTCCAGCCGTGATGAGAGAGACTCGCAGAGGCGCGTCGAACCGGCTCGCGCTCCTCCGTCCGACACTTGCCGCTCGCGCGTCGCGGTTCTTTTTATCCGCGGAGCCTCGGCTGTCATCTGGGAGCTGACCAATGGGAGGGCAACGAGCCGTGCTTCAGGAAACACCCACACCGAGGAGAGGCGTTTATCCCATCATCATCTTCATCATCATCATCATCATCATCATCATCATCATCATCATCATCATCATCATCATCATCATCATCATCATCATCATCACCATCATCATCATCATCAGTCATCTCTGATCAGACCTCCGGCTGTAAATCATGTTGGTCTAAAACTCCAGAACATCAATCATCCTGAATCAAATGAAGCAGAGAGTTCACTCCAGTAGTTTTATATTTATGAAATGCAGGTACGCAGTCACTGTAAACAAACACTGAAAAAAACAAACACCTGGAAGTTTGAGTCATGTCTTCAACCAACACCAGACCAGTTTTTATTTCTCTGTGCTTCGCTTTAAAAAGTTTTCAGCGTCTGTTGGATTGTGGAATTAAAAGATGGATGAAAACTGGTTTGTGAGAAATTATTTTGTTATTAAAAAGTAAATAATTTCTTCAAAACCACTGGATCAAATTAAAGCAAACTCTTTGGGAATCCATAAAAATAATCAAAAGCCACGTCTGAATTATTCAAGATATTTTGATGGAAGATTTAGGACAGGATTATTTTACTGTAAAGTTAAAGAAAGCTGCAGGAACTGGAGTAAAATTTAATAACTGAAGAAGAGATAAAAACAATAATAATCGGACTGGAAGACAAAATTAAAGGGGGGATGTTGTGCAAAATCTACTCTTGAGCTTTATATGTTGTGATGTCATCAGAGTTGCTGTGATTCATTATGCATGTTGGAGAAATCCTTGAATCTCCTGTGTGGAACTGCTTAAACACTTCCTGCTACAAAGCTCCGCCTTTTTACACAAAGCTCCGTCCATTTGCACAAAGATCCTCCCTGGAGCTCAGTCTGCAGCAGAGCTCCCCCC